TTCTTTCAATTGGTCAAATTCACAACTGTGTTCGTACATGTTAATTAGACAAATGACGGCTTTTGTCCACCGAGCAGGGCTTGCGGCAAAGTAGACGGTGCTGAAGTAGTTAGCTGCGGTTGGAGGTAGTCGAACGTGTCTTATTTCTTAATTTTTTTGTTCGTGTTTCAATTGAATCGGATGTGAAACATTGTGATTTGGTCACCCCTTGTTTCCTATGGAACGATTTACCATTTTTCTGCTTGTTCTGGCCTTTGTATTTACTATTTTAGAGCGACTCCTCGACGAATATATCATCTTTTGCTGCTGCAAGGCTGTACTCAATCGATTCTTTTTGTCTGAAATAGGACTTCCATATTGATAAAAGTTGAAAGGTGTCTAGGGATTAACAACGTTTACCGCTCTACAAACTTTTGAGACCGGACTCCAACAGCGGTATATACATTTACTTAATATATTCACCATTTAACACTCGTTTATGGTCAAACATGATATTCTCATGAGTGGTACTACGCTCATCCTATTGTCTTATTTTCTCACTTCATTTTATTTTTTCACCCACCAAAAATGTTAAAAGAAGAAAACACTCTTTTCTCACCCACCATCATTCCTAAAATACCCTAATGTGATTTCAGCCCTCGACACCCCTACTCTGCTGGCGTGCCGCACCAACTCCCAACACCCAACCAAGGTCCCCCAACCATCAGAACACCACCATGACAGCAAAACTGCCTCACCACTCATCTTCTTGTTCCCTACATAGTCTAGATATTTTATTTTTCCTATGAATTTCAAGTATTGCAGATTGCAATGGAATTCAATGGGTGAGTTATGTATTCAAATTTTTAGAATAAAGGAAATTAGAGAGAAGGGAGGTGAGGTTTGGGTTGGGATTAGAACAAAAGAAGGGGCTGGGCGTACAGAGAGTTTAAAGCCATGGATGTTATGAAGCAATGATGGGTGATATATGATCGATTGGTTCGCATTTGATTAGATCCTTGAAATTAGGGTTTTGGAGAAAGAAACAATGGAAGTAGAAATACTTGTTTACAAGAGATGAGATTTCGTCCCAGAAAGGCACAATAATTAAATTGAAAGAGAGAAGGATTTTTTTTTTCTTTTACAGAGATGGTGAACGGGCATAAGGAAATGGGGCAATCCGGCAATGTGTGGTGGGCACAAGGAAATTGGCAATCTGCAGTACATTTTTGTTTTGGTCCTTACATGTCACTTTACAAGAGGGTAAAATTAACATTAAAATTTATACTAAAATACGGGTGAGAAAATAAGACAATGGGATGAGTTTATCAACACTCTATTCTTATTTATCAAAATGCAAAATGTGAAGCTTCCTATATTCCAAAAATACCCATTCTTAATTAGGATTCTAAAATAAAACAACTTAATTTTTAAAAAGTTCAAACTAAAATATAAATAAAAATTACAAATAAATAATAAAAAAAAACAAATTGTCCCATGCTTGAGCGTATAGTAAAGAGTAGTATCCTCCGCTCAAAGAAGCTAACCGAAACGGCCCAAGTCCAAACAAAGCGACCCGGTCCAAAGTTTTATTAGATTTTCATCTGCTTCCCTCTACGCTCCGGCTTCAATTTCACCTTACCCTCCTCCGGTGTGCTTCATTATCCTCCACATTCCGCTGTTAAAAAATAAATTGAAAAATAAATAAATTAAAAATCCATATAAAACCCCTAAATTTCACCACAAAGAGTCCAAGACCTTCTTCCCCTTTTTCTTCTGTCTATCTCTTTCTTCTATCCACTCTCTATTTTTAGCATAATTCAATTCGGAGAGCGCGACAAAGATAAAAGCGGCACTCTTAGCTATTTTTCCCCAAATTTCAACAATTTTTGTCAAGGGAGGGAAGTTCATGGCAGGTTAGTTTGAATTTACTCGTCAATTCTCCCGTTCTGAATTTCAATTCTTGCAATTTAATTGTTTTTGTTTAGTTAGGGTTTGATTTCTGAGCTTGGGGTTATTGGGTTGTTTGGTTTTTTGTAAATGGAGGAAATGGGAAGGAAACGAAGTATAAAGCTGTGAACTTTGCGTTGTTTTGGTGAAAATTGAGCTTCTTTTTGCTTTCTTTGGGTGATTTAGTAGGTTTGGGAATCATTTGTTTGTTGGGTTGCTGAGAATTTTGAGGAAAAGGGAAAGGGCAAAGAGTTTTCAAGCTATTGCTCAATTTTGTTTATGGATTCCTTTGAATGTTTGTGTTTCTTTTGTCCGAATCTTCGTGTAGTACGCTAGCTTAAGATGAATTGGTGTTCTTGGTTTTGGATTGTTAACTGTTTGTGATAAGTTTTTGAATTCTTTTTTGATGGTGTTGAATTGTTCCTTCTGGTTTGCTTGCTGCAAGAGTTAGTGCTTATGTGTGGTTGTTTATGAAATTAGGCCCTGCTGAGTAAATGATTTGGTCGTTGGGGTGAAGACGATGGCTTTGGTTACCCATCAAATGCAGGTAATTTGATATTAAGAGTACCATGAATTGCATATTACATTGTATCCGTTTAATGTATGAGAGAAATGATCTATGTTGAGGTTATGCCCCTTCACATGTTTTGAGATTACTGGTTTTCAGTTTACCCCGCCAAGTTCTTGAATTTGGGATTTTATCTTTCTGTTGCTAGCTTTCTCTTTTTATGCTCATGTTTCTTTTTTTACTGTTGCATTTCAGGGTTCTTATGTGACTTATCCCTCTAGGCCTTTGTCATGGAGCAAAGGGATGAAGTTGAAGCAGTGTGTAACAACACATCAAATGGTCGGGAGGAAAGAGAAGTGCTTTATGCTAAAGCGCAACCTTTGTTTAAGGTGGGAGTTTTTCTTCTATAAGTTTGTTATCTTTTTCTTTGTTCTATTTACTTTTCTTTAGGTCTCCTACCAGCTGAACTTTGTGGTTTGCATTGAAATTCTTCTACTTGCACTTGTGGGAGCACATATGCACTATGAGGGAATGGACGCGCACACCCACATCCAGACCAAATACACATTTTTTATCGTGTCCATTTAAATTCAGAGAACTTGTTTCAGTGTAGGGGCTTCTCTCATGCGGGGACCAAAAGTTAAACCTTTCAGAGTTTCAGCCTTCAAGGGCAGTGCTCAGAATGATAAATCTGGAGGTAGAACAAATGGATCAAAGCTTCCCAAGAATTCGGTCAAACTAAAAGAGAATGAGGATACTATCACGGGATCTCCTCAGGCAAATGATATTCCTCTTTCTTATGCCTCTGAAGCAGATGAGAGAATTGCATCTTCCCCCGTCATTCATAGTTTATTTAAGAAATGGTTGAGAATGCTTCGAACACAATCACCAAGTGAAGTAGAAGATGGGCTTTTGGGGGAAGAACCGCCTCCAATGGAGACATCAGAAACTAAGCATGAGATTCAAAACAAGGAAAATGATGGGATTCTACGGACGGTTTGGTGCAATTTTCTGGGTCTAAACGCTACAGTAAAGATACCCTTACTTATTTTGTAAGTATAATGTGTGCTCTATCTCTCCATCTGCTTGTCTGTTTTTTCAAGTCTGCAATTATTCTATTTAAACGAACTTCTGGTTTTATGCGGTTAACATAAGACGTCTTGGATTTATTTTCTTTTATCTTACAACATCATTTTAATTGTTCACTTAATATGCAGCATCCCCATGTACCTGGCAGTTAATATGATTCATGGGGCCAAAGTTTCAAAGGAGTTGACACCTTTGTGGGTTTTAGGACCCCTCATTGTAGCACTCTACATCAAGATGCTTCAGTGGTTGTGTGCACTCTATGTTTTCAGCTTCAAGCAGACTGTTAAAGTAATCAAGAATTTACCCACTTACTACATGGTGGCCTATACATACATTACACATGGGAAGCTTAAAGAGGAAATACGGGCTCGTTTCTGGCAACCTTTACTGAACGTTAAGAACTTAGACTACAAGAAATTATCCAGAAGAAAGATGAAAGCATTGCAAGGGTTGATAATCGAGAAATACCTTGATTTCGTGGAATCAATATGGCCTTATTACTGCAGAACAATCAGATTCCTAAAGAGGGCTAATCTCATTTAGATGCATCTGAGGAATGTCTTCTGTGGGAGCAATGGCTGAAATCCGGAGTTACTCCTGATGATGGTTTAGAAGTTGGAGTTTCTTTCGAGGAGCCAACCGACCCCATTTTAGATCGGGGTTCTTCTTGATGTCTAGCTAGCCGAGGATCATGACAAGCGGATTTGTCCGGTTTCTGTAATTTTTTCAAGGCAGCATTCTTAATTTTTGGATGAGTTCCCAATTATTTTGTTTCTGTATTGTATTCAGCTGCCACGAATGTTTTTTCTTGGGGTTCCAAATTGAGGAAGTATTTTCAACTTCTGTAGCAAGTCACTTATTTTCTGGGGTTTGGATGTTATCGAACTTATTCTGTTCTTTTACTGCTATGGCAGCTACTCTGAGAATCATCATGCATCTCACTTTAAATTTTCTGCATTCTTCCCCCCATCCTCTCTTCCTCTTCTTCTTTGGAAAATCGATTAGGGTTAGGGCCGGATCGAGTCCTACTACTCCGTTGTTGGAAGAGATAAAAGTATGGTCGGGATTGATACTCGGATGAGAATGAATCATATTATGTGACTGTCGCACTAAAAAAATTGCAAGAACATAAATGAAGGTTTCTCTTGGGATATCTTGTGTAGAAACACTTATAAGCATACTGTCGCACTAAAAAAAATTGCAAGAACATAAATGAAGGTTTCTCTTGGGATATCTTGTGTAGAAACACTTATAAGCACTTTTTTTTAAGAAGTGATTTTATTATGGACAAGTTAAAATCTTTAATAAAAAATCATGTGTTTTTTGAATAAATATTATTAATTTTTTTGCGAACGCAACCTCAAACATTTTAATTATCACATCGTTTTTAGTTTTTTCAGAAACAGTTTTATACATGCTCGAAAGAGAGAAAAAAAAGAAAAAGATAAACAAATAAGAGAAAAAATCTGGTGAGAAACAAAGAGAGGGAAATGAAACAAAACAAAATCCGCATAAATATAACGTGAGAATAGGATTTTGTCCAAACTATAGGCGCCCGCTTCGCCCCCACCGAATTACACACAACAAACGAAAGCCGCTGTCTTCCGCAATAACTCCAAAACTACTCCTCAGTTTCTCCGGATTCCTCCACTTTCTCACCCTTTCCTTCATTTTCCCGGAAAATTTTCTTTATGGGTGGCCTCATATATTCCTCGAATCAAATGGGTTTGCGTTAGAATCCCGCAGCATGCAGCCGTTGAGTCTCTGACAAGCTCGGCCTCTTGTTATTGCTTCACAGATATGGCGATTAAATGTGGTTCTTCGTTTTCTTGCCTGGCAACTTATCCTGCTTCCCATTGCCAAACCACAAGGGGTTCCCAGGTGCGTTATAGGGCTGTTTGGTTACTGAGAAAAAGTCTTGATATCCCCCAAATTTTTGTTATTTTGTTTTTGTTTTGATGTTTGCATGTGAACTTGTGAGAATGCATGCTGAGTTTGTATCTGGTAGCTAAAAAGGTTTGGAATTGGTGTTTGTTTTTTGGTAAAAGGGTGGGGAATTGGTGTTTGTTTTTTGGTCAGAAGGTGGGGAATTGGTGTTTGTTTTTTGGTCAAAAGGTGGGGAATTGGTGTTTGTTTTTTGGTGAAAAGGTGTGGAATTGGTAGGTGAAATTGATTCCACAAATAGAAAATAAAAGTAGGATATTGTTTAAGCTCTTTGATGTACGAAAGAGGGTGTTATGATGTTAAAGAACCTGGCTTTGGAGAGATTTTAGTTGCACTGGTGGTGTTTGTATTTGAAATCTTACGGATTAGACATGGCTTTGTGAGAAGTTAGAGGTATTACTTTGGGGTATTATGTTTAGTTCATAACCTCTAATGTTTTGTACATGAACTAGGTATATATATATTTGTTACTTATGCTACTACTATTGAGCTTAAGCTTCTTGGGATGATACACATTAACACATTTGAATGCACGGTGCGCGGTGGATTTTACCGTTATTGACTATTTGGAGTCATTTTGCTATGCTGAAGTAAGTTATGCTCGAATTCACTTCTAATTGGAGTCATTTCTGTATAGGATTTTTAAAATTCACTTCTAGTTGTATTGTATGAGTCTGGTCTGATAATGTCAAATGACTGCCTCCTTTTAGAAGAACTTTATCGATTTTTCAGCTTATAAATTGATTCCTTTGATATGCAGTTGAGCTTATTGCGTGTACCGTACTGCAGCCAACAACGTAATGGTCAACAGCTGAGATATGCTAAAGGTAGCTTTTCATATTTGTTGCATAATTACTGAAGTCTTCAAATTTTCCTTATGTGCAATATAGCCAGCATAAGATTTGTTTTTTCCCCGAGGTACTGAGCATAGTATAGTTGTAGAAGGGAACCTATGGATTTCATTTTATTGAAGCTACTTTTTCTAATTTGACCATTATTAACCTTTTTACCAAATAGTTTATGAACTGTAATGCCATTTCTTTAAAAAGTGCGAGATTGTTTTGAATTGCTCTAAATATGTTTGGTCTATTTCTTCTGCCACTGTAAGCAGGTAATTCATGCATATTGAGACATCGAGTAGGGCAGTCAAGCAAAAGGATCCCAAACAGTCACAGTGTTCTTTTTGCTGTTGCTGAAGATCAGTCACAATATAGTGAGATAAAAACAGATGCTATGGAGCAAGAAACTCACCTTCCTAATTCTGAAGATATATTTCCTTCTAACAGTTCATATATCCATTTTGATGGTACTGGTGGAAAACCGGGTTTAATCTCATTTTATAACCGTCCGTATAAAGGGGAAGAAGAAGTTTCTACAAATAATCCAGAAAGGAACCAAAACAGCCTCTTATGGTTCATTGGTCCAGCTGTTCTCCTAGCTTCTTTCATTTTCCCCTCACTCTATCTGCGCAAAATACTATCTACTATATTTGAGGATTCTTTGTTGACAGGTGAGGATGCATATCTATATGTCGTGATTTTATGTTTATTAAATTCCGGTATTTTTCATCACTTGTTTTTAACTAAAACTATGATTGTAGTAGATAGGATAGGCACAGAAAATTTGTCTCGCCAGCTTGAGATTTTGTCTCCTTACATATATCTGTATACACCTTTCTGTGTATCACTTTCTATACACTACAACTTGCATTGTTTTTATTTCGGGTAAGACTATCTTGGGGTGTTGGAGTGACTCTACTAGGGTGATTATTCTAGGATGAAAGTTAGTGCAGCCCACTCAAATGGATGAGGGTTAGGGACTCTAGATAGTTGTTGGTGAAGGAATGATCCTAGGAAACTTTAAGGGCTTCTAATGAAGAGTGAAGACAGAGGAAAGGGACTGGAAGTGATTTTGGGCAACTTGTGAAGTAGGTTGGATAATTTTAACATGAATATGATAGAAATAGACGACTAGAGGGTTGTGGTACAGAGAAATATCTACAAGTGAAGGGCAATAATCAATGGAACATGGATGAAAATATTGAATAATGACTTGAAGTTCTAAGAAGTAACATTAGATGTGGCTCAATGGACTGGCAAAGTAATGTCTGTTGTTGGTTCAACTCTTGGGAACTAAATGAACGTTGGCATTATGTAAAAAGTTGACACGTTCATAGAGTCTATAGCGTATCACAACTTTTGGCTCATATCCTTCTTAACATATACATTCTATTTTTCTTTATAAACTCATTTAATTCTTTCAGTTTAGAAAGTAAACCTTTTTCTCCCGTCTAAACCATGATATGTTTCTTCTCAGATTTTCTCATCTTGTTCTTCACGGAAGCTCTCTTCTACAGTGGTGTTGCAGTGTTTCTTCTTCTGATTGACTGTTCAAGGAGGACAGCTGAACCAGAATTGGTTGTCCCCAGTAACAGAACCCCAGCCTCTCAGTTAGGACAGCGAATCTCATCTGTTGCTTCCTTGGTACTCAGTCTTATAATTCCTATGGTGACTATGGGTTATGTCTGGCCATGGACTGGCCCTGCAGCTTCTGCTACTCTTGCTCCATATCTGGTTGGTATAGTGGTCCAATTTGCATTTGAGCAGTACGCAAGATATAAGAAGTCACCTTCATGGCCTGTTATCCCTGTCATCTTTCAAGTAAGCCAATCTGTTCCTTTTCCTTATGGATATTGCAAGAAAATTGAATTTGATTGTATGAAAAATCTTGTTTCTCTTGTTGTCTAGTAGGTTGTCGGATTACTACCGGATGATAGTTCTTAAATTCTAGTCTGTCTAATTAGATATGCATCCATCAATCTCCGTCATTAAACTCTTTGTGATTTCATAATCTCAGTTGAATTCAACTTGGAAAACGAGAAAATGATAAGAAAGTCCTCCTGTATGTATTTTATAATTGTGTACACATGCTGGTCTACGAATCAAAATTTTTTATTTCCATTATGATCGGCAGGTCTATAGATTGCATCAACTGAATAGAGCAGCGCAACTGGTGACTGCTCTGTCCTTTACAGTCAGAGGCGCTGAGACGACACCGCACAACTTGGCAATAAACAGTTCCTTGGGCACACTGTTGAATGTCCTTCAATGCCTAGGAGTTATCTGCATTTGGTCTCTCTCAAGTTTCCTTATGAGGTTTTTCTCTTCCACCACTGCTAATCCACCTTAAAGCCCGCGATATCATGTACGGATCATGTAACTCAGCTACAATGTCATCCGGCTTCTTTCAAGAAAATTAAATGAATATCAGTTGGATCCAATTTCCTTTTTTCCGTGGTTTAGTTCCGCTCGGGCTGGAGTTTGACAGCAAGTGGCCATTGAAGTTTTGACTGGTCTCAAGCAAAGTCAGAAGGTAGTTGCAGGATTTTGTAAATGAGATTCTTAAAATGAGAGAGAGAGAGAGAGAGAGAGAGAGAGAGAGAGAGAGCAAAGTTGATGAGAATTTTGTGCTGCTATTTCCATATGATTTGGTTTACTACATTTTCATTGCACATAAGATTATTTTTGTTTCATTAAATCCTATTTGTTTAGAATTTAACAGAGAACTCAGTTCCAAGCTTATCTGATTTCTTTATGAAACCCCATCAAAGTTTAGCTAACCATACGCTTATCCTAACAGAGGAAGGACTTTGCTACGGTCAGCCGCTCACCCACGAGTGCCTAAGCGATTTATAATCTTACTTATCACAAGTCTCACGTCTAATGAAACCCTAGCGGTCCAAGTTCTACATTTTTGCCCTAAATAACTGGGATTTGCTGTTATATTCCAGAGTATCCTATACTTAGGAGTTTTTAGTTGTTGAAACCTTAATTAAGAATATAACTGCCACAAATCCTAGAGTTTAGGATATCTCGAAACATAATAGAATTTCGTGAGTACCCTACAAGCCATTTTTTATTATTTAGAGAATTAAATCAGTCTCTTCCCTGACCTGATATACTTTCGGTGGTCCAGCTTTGAAGAGCCTGTACAAAATTACAAATAGAGTTGGCCAACCAACTAAACTAAGAAAAATAAAATTTATAGAAAAAAAAAAGCAAAGTAAAGTCAACATGCCCCGAAAGATCCAAGGGAAATATATAAACTAAAAAAATAAAAGGTTTAGAAGGATATTAATACTTGACTTCTCATTTCTCAAAGATAAAAGAGTCCATGTTCTTGAGAGTATTACATGTCATCAAAAATTATAATCCGGGATTAATTATTAATAAGTTAATTTTTAATTAATATATTTATTAAAAAGTAAAAAAGTACACTATTTGGAGGATTTTTTTTAATTTTAGAAATAATTAAAATTGTTTGTTTGGTGTTGATATAATTAATAAATAAGGAAAACTAATGATAGAGGTTTGAAAACTTTGAGTTTTAATGATAAGAACAAAATAAAGGATAAAGTGAATAGTACCATGATTGACTTTTTAATGTAAAAAAATGGATTTTCGTTAAAGTGAACAGTATCGAGAACTTTTCGTTAAAATTCCATAATAAATATTACTTTGAAATGACTTTAATGATGTACCTTCTCTTTTGTCTGTGTTGCTTAATTATTTGAGTGATATTATATATTTTAAACTTAATTGTCTTCTGGTTTGGTGGAGATTAACATTTTTTTCCTCTTATTTCTTGTATTGAAATAAAATAAGGTGATAGAATGTATAATATGCAGTCAGAAAGAAAACTACAAAAGAATATATATTAGGTGTTTAACAAACCGAATAAATCTATAATATATAAAGGAAAATATAATACTATATATATATATATATATATATATATATATATAGAGAGAGAGAGAGAGAGAGAGACATTTAGTTGGAGTTAAAATTAAACGAACATTGTTGTTCAAGACAACAAATGGTTATAAAAAAAGTGACACCTAAGCTTTACTCCATTAAGTGGGGTCAACTGTATGACTATTAGAATTTTACTGCGTTCGATTTTACGCCATATCTTTTGTTTGCTCCAAGTACTCTATATTTTCTCTTAAAGCATCAAATCACGGACCCGACTCCGTCTGGCCACGTCCTCACGGTTTTGTTTTTAGGAATTCATGAGCAACTTCCCAGTGGGTCACCCATTCTGAGATTGCTCTAGCCAAACTCGCTTAACTTCGGAGTTCCGATGGAACTCGAGTCAGTGAGTTCCCAAAATGCCTCATACTAAAGGAGGTGGGCATGTACATATAAGGCATAGATGATCCACTCCCCTAGACGATGTGGGATCTAACATAAAGTCTCTTTCTAAGTCTTTCTAAATCTTCCTCAGCGATTTAGATAAACTGAAATATAATTCAAAGTAAACCTTATTGAAGGGCTCTCTAAATTCAAGCTCATATGTGAGCACATCTTGAGCAAGTAGATTTGCGGCCATGAAAATGTTGGTGACCTAGTACCAACTTGTTGCATGTGCAAACACTTGGTTCACTTTTTACCTTTATGTAGTCTATTTGGTAATTATATCCACTCTAGAAAATAATTGCTACTTCAAATTTTCTTGTCCAAATAATTGAAAGGAATAAAGATGAAAAAAAAGGTATCCTATATAGAAAAAACTAGAAGTGAAAAATAAGCATTTGGGCGTGATATGATCTTTCCCTTTCCTAATCAAGCATTTGAGGGCAACTTTTCTGCGAGATTGTAACACCACTGCAAGCCGTGATTGATAATCATAACATAACACGTGTATATTTATAATACTATTAAGTTTTTTTTAACAATAATGTACTTTAAGATTGACATAACTCCTCACTTTGGTCCCTAAGATTGGAAATAAATAGAAGTGGACCAAAGTGAAGAGTTATGCCAATCTTAGAAACCATTTTCGCTAAAAAGTCATACTACTACTCTAAAGTTCATCGCTACTTCATCTTCTATCACCTAACTAATCACACTACGTGACGGTAATCTAGTACCACAACAATTTTTCAGACTTGATTCATCCATATTGTTTCTCTCTTTCTTGATCCTGAAAACCAAGCAAAGTCGAAAAGATATAAAGCTATGGCGGATAGCTAAGCACTTAGAGAGAACTTCTCTATCAAAAGATTTAGAAACCCGACTTTGAAGCAACCTTGTTTGTCCTCTTGTTTTAGGGTTCACTAGTAGCAAGAATAATCCCTTCAATAATACATTAATTATACAATTACTGAGGCAATTATATATATTCTGATTAGATTATACCTAATTAAATTTAATTCTGGCCAACGCAGCATGTTTGAATGTATTACACCAAACCTCACATGATATTTGGATCTTCTCTATTGCGCGTTTCACCATGATTGATCAGTCCAATGAGGTTGTTTTGGTTTGTGTTTTCTTCCTGTATTTAATTTGGTATTTGGTAGTTTAGGTTACAATAGAAATATATATATATATAGACGGATCCGTGTCACTACTTTATTTATACAAGTTTTGGTGAGATTCATTTCGTAATATATTTTAACGATCTGATCTATATATTTTTTAGAACATCATCAAATGAATAATTTTCTAAAAGATAGACGGTTAGATCATTAAAATATATAATGGAGTGAGCTCCGCAAAAAAATTGTGTCACGACCCATCCCAAAATGAATGAAAGAACTAATTCCGTCTCGAAATGACAGAGTCGGCCCTCTTCTTCTTTCTTTTACGAATCAGGGAAGCAAAATCCTTTCTAGGTGGGGGAGAAAAGGTTAAGCGGAGGCAGGAAAATTCGTAAGGTAGAGTTCCTCTAACTAGTACTCCATCTTTTAAAACGACCAAAAGCATATATATACTTCAAACATAAGAAAACTTGTGAAGGGCTAGAAACTATGTTAATATAGGCATTCAATCTCACTTCATTGAACTACTAACTTTGAGTACTTAGTCATTTGGTCTAGTAACGTTTAGTCTTCGTTATGTTGGAACAAATACAACATTCTAATTTCATGAACGATAGTTGTCAATAAGAAGGAAAGCATTCAATTGTACATGCCAGAATTTATTTCCTTTTGTTCCTCATTTAGTTGTTTTTAGATCCTGGAACGTGGAAACCCTAATGCAAATTGACAGTAGAAAGATGCATGAATCTATCAATTTTTCTAAGCCCTTTTTTCTACATTCTGTAGCTACAACAGCATCATGGATTTGTACCTATTTAGTGGACCAACAATCCTAGAAGTTAAATTGAACATGTCCATAAGAAAGTCCAATGCTACTCAATTCTTCTTGGAATAATTGTAAATTGGATATTAGAAAGAAAAAAAAAATCATGACAGCTACGTGGATAGCCGATAGTATATTCACACTAAAGAAGAAATTTTGGGGAATACTACCTAACCACGTTATCTGTAGGGCACTTCTCGTAAAATTATGAGACTCTGTATTTTAGTTATAGCTAATTCTACATTGACACTCAGCGTAAGAATTGTCCTAATCAGACAGCGAATATCAACTTCAAATTTAAAGTGAGCCTAGAGTGAGGTCCACCTCTTGAACTTACTGTTAGGTTGCAAGTGGAATACTTTTCTACTAAGCGTTTCTTCTTTTAGCCATGCTTACACTACCCTTATCTCTCCATGCACTTCCCTTCCCCACACCTCCATAAGATTCTAAAAACATCTTTCAGCATCCATAACATTCCTTGATGAGAAGAAAAAGGAGAGGAAAATCATCATATCTTTTAGCAGAACTAGAAAAAAGGTGAGAAAGATTGCTACCTTAAAAAAGAGAAGACCTCTGTGCTTAAAGCCTAATTACTTTCGATATAAGCGATATTGGGGAAGGAGGGGTCAAAATCGGGACTTCAAGTGCATGAGGTGAATGCTTTTAATCAGCTGATCGCTACAATCGAGCAAACAAAAAAAAACCCTAATTATTTTTTATGCATGTTAGTTATCAACTTGCTTTTCAAACTGATTAGGTAAGCCTAGTTCTACTGCAGAAGAGTATTTAAACTCCAAGGCATCCATTTATCCCACCATAGTTTTAAACTTCTTGTCTTAACTCTTAATCAAATTCCCTCCTCCGGTTCTCATTCCATCTCTTGTTTCCATTTGTATTTCTTTCAACATGAAATTTCTGAGTAGAAATACTACTAAATCTTCGAAATTGATCTCAGATAGTTTGGTTTCTGCTTGATCTTGATCATGCATTTTGTAATTGGCAGCGTTGAAATGTCTCATTTCTTGCTGTTTTTTGGAATAATTTATGCTGTTCTTGCTGTTTCTCTCGGAGACGATTCGAGGGTTTCCTCCCTACTTCTGAGAATCAAATCAGAACTTGTTGATCCAGTAGGAGTTTTGAGCAACTGGTCTCCAAGTGCTCATATATGCAGTTGGAATGGCCTATCGTGTTCAGACGATCAGCTGCATATTATTGGTCTTAACCTATCGGGATCAGGATTAGCCGGTCAAATCCCTCGCGAGCTTTCGCAACTCTCTTCGATCCAAACACTCGATTTCTCTTCAAATTCCCTCGCTGGTCCACTTCCTCCCGAGTTGGGACAGCTTCAAGGTCTCAAAACACTCCTCCTCTACTCGAACTTTCTCTCCGGCGAGATTCCTGCAGAAATAGGCCT